TGCTGTTTCACCCATGACATTAAAGTGGTGCGTTAAACTTATAGATGGTGAAAAAATGAAGAATGCTTTTCAATTCGGTCTGGTCAAAAATAAATTAATTTTTGATATAAAAAGTGATTTTAAGTTGAGAATAAAGTTTGTATAACGAAGATAAATTTAAGATTATGATTTATTTACAAAGAAATATCGTTATAAATCTGATACAGCTCATTGTTTCGACGTCTGAGGTGGTGGTGTTGCTCAACGTTATTTTACAGAGCCATATAAATTTCGAGTGGATAAGAAATTCAGACATCGCGTCATAAAGGAGGCTTCTTTAGTACTCTTCTCGCTGTTCTTTTCCAAATTTTGCCACATGGTGAATACCTAGTCAATGGAGGGGACCTTAAAGCCCAAGTTCAGAAGGTTGATGCCATGCTACGATGGTTGCTATTTATGTATCTGGCCTTAAGCACTTTTAGTGTTGTGAGTTGTCATCTGACATATCCATTGGATAATTTGACATATTTCACCATAAACGCACTGAGATCGTTTTAATGTGTGTGTGCTATATTCATTTCAAAAATTCATCTCGACAAAAAATGGAATTAACTCGTGAAGATTTTCGTGCGATTAATTTTCACAATTTTTGATGTGGATAAATAAGACAAGAATGCATCGATGTACTAAAATAATTATACGGCGAGCAAGCAATATATTCTAAAGTATGTACAGACAGGCCGCTAATAGAGCAAATAACCAAGCTTTTTCGACCAAGGTGCTAATTGATACAAATTAATACAAAATTTAAATTCTTAATTGCTTGATTACTGGTTTTTTGAGTGCTAATTAAATGAATGCTCCATGCAACCCTGCTGCGTATGTTTAATTTTTACTTCGAGGTATGTTTATTGAACAAACGGCAATTAGCTGTTTGTGTCTGGTCCACTTTACAGCTGATTTTCTATCAGGTATGGAAAAATTGAACTGTAAAATTGTAACTAATTTGCGAAAGAACTTTACCCAAAGTAAATAAATGTACCTGGAAAGTAAATATGTATTTTTATATGTTCATTTTAAAGAAAATATGATGATAACCTTTCCCTTCGATATTATATGAACTCCTGGACTCACATCAAAGAGCTTGGCTATGAAAATAATCTCTTCGGGCAGTTCGATACAAAGCTATGTTTTACAAAAGGTGGATCGCGTTCCTCCGAGTTCTGCCATCTGATATTTTCGAGAGAAATATTATTTGTCTATCTGACGTAATCAACTACAGTTATGGTACTTTGCCCCTTCACAAAGGAGAGATGCTATTGGGTGAGCTACCCACACCAGAAAATGCGTTGAAATGGGAGTAAAAATTAGAACTGATTTCCTAAAAAGTTATTTGACTACGTTCCAAATTTACTTAATTCACTTTTAAACTAAATAAAGGTACGATTGTACCATCACTGTAGCTAATCGATCAGCTGGTTGCGTGGGAACACCAAAAAGAGGTAGCTCAATTGAAATGTTATTTGACTCAATCAAATTTTTACCTACAGTTTTATGCCGACTCCGAACGGCGATTGTATTTTTATGAGAAGCTGCTTTTCATGTCAGAAATACACTCGGAGGTTTGCCATTGCCTGCCTATGTGCGACCACTGTTAAGAAAACCTTTTTTTCAAATTTTTTTAGCGATATTGCTTGAACCCAGGCCCCGCGGAGTGGAAGTGCGCACTGCTTACCTCTACACCACAGCGGCCGCCACAACTTAATATTAGCTTCGTAAAAAAACTGATCTAATCAGGCGATATTTTGCATAGAAGTTGGTTTTGAAAGATTTGGAACCCTTTTAGATGTTCCCTCAGATGTACGCTTTTCTGGTTAAAGCCAGAGACTAAGGGCTGGTTTCTCCATCTCAACTTAACTTAGTTAAGCCAATTTTCTTGACTTAGTCATGAATAAGCTGTGTAAAACGTAGGCTAACTTTTGACTTAAGTCCAAAAAGTGGCTAAACTAAGTTAAGTTGAGTTGGAGAAACCAGCCCTATATCTCTCCATTTCATCAACATCAGATAACGTATACAATTTCCGCCCACAAAAGCTGTAGGCATGTCAGTGCGTTGCCTTTTACGATTTTTCACATTTCTTCATTCCTAAGTGCAGAATAGAGCATATTTAAACTAAGTATCAGCGAATTCGTAGCACGGTTACTACTTTTCGCCACAGCTAAGAAGAGCGAACGGTCCTTATTTTTTGCAGGAGCTATGCTCGGTCTTGAAACGTTGTCGGCCAGTATCTTATGCTGACTCTTTATCACGTTCTCGTGGAACCCATTGTTTCTGCGGACTCGCTTCACAGGTGCTTTCTGTGAGCCAGAGTGAGAGGTAAAGCCACGCGCTTGAGGAGTACTTGACCACGAATACTCTCTCGCACCATAAATCCGAAACCAAATTTGCTTTCTTGTACATAGCGTAGGGGTATTAGGGTCTTATTGAATAAGTTAACGCTTTTTTTTTCTCAGTGTAAAAAATGTAGTACTGAGAGAATCTCTTCTGATTGCCCAATGTGCGTGCATTAACTTTAAGTATAAAATGGTCCCGAAGCTTATCAATTGAGCGGAGTCAAAGGTGATTATGCCATTCCAGCGTTTTAGCGACCAAAAGCCGCACAAATTCACACTGGCAGGCTTTTCACAGATGGATTTTTATATTTTACTCAGAGGAGCGTATTATATGCAATAAAAAATTCTCAAATTTTTCTTAGTTTTGCTCATAATTCGAATCGAATAGCACATGAAAAATGTCGCTGCTAAAAATCTCTGTTTTACTAGGAGTGATTGTACTAACAGCCGCAGAAGTTGTCGATATTAAACCGTGCGGCGATGTCGACGCTTGTACTATTCATGAGGCACGCATTAGTCCTTGCCCAGAGGCGCTGGATCATAAGGCATGTCGCGTGAGTCGTCGCCGCAAGAGCAGTGAAATGTCTTACGACTTTTCGACGAATTTCGATGCGCCGACTTTGGAGGCCGGCTTGGCTTGGCATAAGAGCGAAACACAAGATTTACCATTGATCACCATGGATAGGAATGCTTGCAAGTACACTTCATGTCCAGTTGTCG